AAAACTTATCACTCATATAGACTGTGTAAACAAGCAGGGGTTTCTATTCTCACCTCAGATAAAGTAGACTTCAAATCAAATCAGAAGAAACAAAGAAGGACATTTCATACTTCTTAAAGGAAGTATATATATATATGCAATTATAAATATTTTTGCCCCAAACAATGGAACCCCTATGTACATCAAACAAACCCTTCTCAATTTCAAGAGTCAAACAGACCCAATACAATAATACTGGGTGATTTTAACACACCTCTCTCATTACTAGACAGATCTTCCAAACAAAAATTAAATAATAAAACAATAGAACTAAATAATACAATCAATAATTTAGACTTAACAGACATATATAGAATATTTCATCCATCAACAAGAAAATATACTTTCTTCTTAGCAGCACATGGCTCCTTCTCTAAAATAGACCAAATATTATGCCACAAAACAACTTCTGGTAAATACAAAAAAAAAAAAAACAGAAATAATACCCTGCATTTTGTCAGACCACAATGGAATGAAATTAGAAACCAATGATGAAATAAAAAATCAAAGCTACTGTAACAAATAGAGACTAAATAATGCACAATTGAATGATGAATAAATAGTAGAAGAAATCATGGATGAAATTTTAAAAATTCTTAGAGGTAAATAAGAACACTGATACAACATATCAAAACTCTCTGGACACTATGAAGACAGTACTAAGAGGAAAGTTTATTGTATTGAGTGCATTCATTAGGAGAATAAAAAAGTCTGGGCTGGGGTGTAGCTCATTGGTAGAGCGCCCGCCTCACATAGGTGAGGCACTGAGTTCGATCCTCAGCACCACATAAAAATAAATAAAGATATTGTGTCCAACTACAACTAAAAAAATATTTTACAAAAAGAATAAAAAGTCAACAAGTAATGACCTAACACTACATCTCAAAGACCTAGAAAAAGAAGAATAAATCAACACCAAAAGCAGTAATAGACAGGAAATAGTCAAAACCAGAACTGAAATCAAATCAAAACAAAAGAAACAACGGAAAATATTGACAAAACAAAAAGTTGGTTCTTTGAAAAAATAAATAAAATAGATAACCCCCCCCCTGGCCATGTTAATGAAGAGAAAAAGAAAGAAAACTCAAATTACTAAAATACAAGATAAAGAAGGAAATATCACAAGGGACAAGTCTGAAATACAGAAGATAATTAGAAACTGTGTAAAAATTTATACTCTAAATAAAATAGAAAATATCAGAGAAATCAACAAATTTCTAGACATATGACATACCCAAACTGAATGAGATCATACATGATTTAAACAGATCAATTTCAAGTAGTGAAATAGAAAAGGCCATCAAAAGCCTACCAACCAAGAAAAGCCCAGGACCAGATGGATTCTCAGCTGAGTTCTACAAGACTTTCAAAACAAGAATTAAAACCAATACTCCTCAACAGTATTCCATGAAATAGAAAAGGAGGGAAGCATTCCAAACTCATTTTATGAAGCTAATATGACCCTGATACCAAAATCAGACAAAGACACATCAAGGAAAGAAAACTTCAGACCAATATCCCTGATAAACATAGATGCAAAAACTCTCAATAAAATTCTGGCAAATTGCATACAAAACATATTAAAAAGATAGTGCACCACGATCAAGTGGTGCATGCATGACTGGTTCAACAAATCAATAAATGTAATTCATCATATTAATACTTAAAAACAATAATCATATGATCATCTCAATAGATGCAGAAAAAGCATTTGACAAAATACAGTAAAAACACTAGAAAAACTAGGGATAGTAGGAACATACCACAACATTGTAAAAGCTATATATGCTAAACCCAAGGCCAGCATCATTCTAAATGGAGGAAAAACTGAAAGCATTCCCACTAAAAACTGGAACAAGACAAGGATGACTTCTTTCACCACTTCTAATCAACATCATTCTTAAAACTCTAGCCAGAACAATTAGACAAAAGAAAGAAATTAAATGGATACAAATAGGTAAAGGAGAACTCAAACTATCACTATTTGCTGATGACATGATTCTGTATCTAGAAGATCAAAAAATTCCACCAGAAAATTTCTAGAATAAATAAATTCAGCAAAGTAGCAGGATATAAAATCAACACCCATAAATCAAACACATTCCTATACATCAGCGATGAATCCACTGAAAGAGAAATTAGGATTAAAACAAACAAACAAAAAAAACCCCTGAGAATCATTCTAACAAAAGAGGTGAAAGACCTCTACAATGAAAACTACAGAACACTAAAGAAAGAATTTGAAGAAAACTTCAGAAGATGGAAAGATCTCCATGCTCCTGGATAGGCAGAATTAATATTGTCAAAATGGCCATACTACCAAAAGCATTACACAGATTTAATGCAATTCCTACTAAAATCCCAATGACATTCTTCATAGAAATAGAAAAGGCAATCATGAAATTTATTCGAAAAAATAAGAGACCCAGAATAGCTAAAGCCATCCTTAGCAAGAAAAGTGAAGCAGGAGGCATCACAATACCAGACCTTAAACTATACTACAGAGCAATAGTAACAAAAACAGCATGGTATTGGCACCAAAATAGACTTGTAGACCAATGGTACATAATAGAGGACACAGAGACAAACCCACATAAATATGGTTATCTATCTCATATTAGACAAGGGTGCCAAAAACATTCACTGGAGAAAAGACAGTGTCTTCAAAAAATGGTGCTGGCAAAAACTAGAAATTCGTATGTAGCAGAATGAAATTAAACCTCTATATCTCACCCTGCACAAAAATCAACTCAAAGTGGATCAAAGACTTAGGCACTAGAACAGAGACCCTGTGCCTAATAGAAGAAAAAATAGACCCAAATTTTCACATAAGCCTAACATCTGACTTCCTTAACAAGACTCCCAACGCTCAAGAAATAAAATCAAGAATCAATAAATGGGATGGATTCAAATTAAAAAGCTTCTTCTCAGCAAAGGAAACAATCGATAATGTGAGGACAGATTGGGAGAAAATCTTCACTACATGCACCTCTGATAAAGCATTAATCTCTAGGATATATAAATGCCTCAAAAAACCAAATAACCCAATCAATAAATGGGCTAAGGAACTCAACAGACACTTCAAAGAAGAAATACAACTGATCAACAAATACATGAAAAAATGTCAGTATCACTAGCTATTACAGAAATGCAAATCAAACTACTCTAAGATTTCATCTCTCTACTGTCAGAATGGCAATCATCAAGAATACAGGCAACAATAAATGTTGGCAAGGATGTGGTAAAAAAGGTACACTAATACATTGCTGGTGGGACAGAAAGCAATGTGGAGATTCCTCAGAAAGCTTGGAACGGAACCACCATTTTAAGTCCTTTGAGTATAAAGTCCTTTATACTCAAAGGACTTAAAAATCAGCAAACTACAGTAATGCAGCCACGTCAATGTTTATAGCAGCTCAATTCACAACAGCTAAACTATGGAACCAACCTAGGTATCCCTCAATAGATGAATGGATAAAGAAAATGTGGTATATACACTCAATGGAATATTATCCAGTTTTAAAGAAGAGTGAAATTATGGCATCTGCCAGTAAATGGATGGAGTTAGAGAATATCATGCTAAGCAAAATAAGCCAATCCCACAAAACCAAAGGCCAAATGTTTTCTCTAACATGTGGATGCTAATTCACAATAAGGTGGGGGCTAGGGAAGAACAGTGTTACTTTAGATTAGGTAGAGGGAAGTATTGGTAGGGGAGGGGATGTGAGGATAGGAAAGACAGTAGAAATAAACAGACATTATTACTTTATGTATATATGTGACTACCTGACCAATATGATTCTGCAACATGTACACTCAGAAAAAATGAGAAATTATATCCCATCTATGTATGACATATCAAAATGCATAAATGCATTTTACTGTCATGTAAAACTAATTAAAACAAATAAAAAAATTTAAAAATTTTTTGTTATGAATATTTTACAATAATTATGTAAGGTACCTAGCCCACTCTCAGTAGGTACTCAAGAAATGCTAGACCCATTCCCTTTATAAGGAATTCAGGGATAGGGTAAAGGAGACAGGGTAAAATAAACTAAGATCCTTTCCCTGTTTTATTGTGAGAGGCTTTGAGTCTCAGGCAGAGCCCAGCTGGTCCTAATACCAGGCAGTACCACATTAATTATCTCAGAAGGAAGGAGAAAGGAATCTGAGTTAGTTATAATCCCTGCAGCATGTTCTGTTCCCACTCCACCTCCACCTGGGTATGGCAAACCCTAGAATATCAACCCTCCAGCCCCCAACCCCCAAAAAAACTAGACACTTAAACCTCAAGGTCATGGGAACAAAAGGATATTCAGTGGCAGCTGGCTTCAGTACATGGGGGAGAGACAAGACTTCAGTACTGAACACCAACTGGATGGGTCCTGTATCCTGTTCCAGTCCCAAGCATTATACTGATCAGTATCTCAAATGCCTTCAGTTGGATTTATATACACGGTGGATAGAAATCTCAAAAGTCAAGTAAACAAATATTAAAAATGCACTTCTCTACAGTTATAATTAATGATTATGTATTGTTAAGTCATAAAATAAGAGGGAAAACATGACATATCTACAAGAATATCAGAATACTGATTTTGATGGGTAGGCTTAATTAGATCTTTTTTTTTGGTGGGGGAAGATATCGGGAAATGAACTCAAGGGCACTTGACCACTAAGCCACATCCCCAGCTCTATTGTGTATTCTATTTAGAGACAGGGTCTCACTGAGTTGCTTAACACCTCACCTTTGCTGAGGCTGGCTTTGAACTCACAATCCTCCTGCCTCATCCTCCCGAGCTACTAGGATTATAGGCATGTGCCACCGTGCCTGGCTTTAATTAGACCTTAATGTAATGTTCACAGAGATGATCATTAACATTCCTCAAACGTAGTAGCTCAAGGAGAACAAAATGCTTGAGGTACCAACATCCAATCAATTTCAAAACAATACTTACTTTAGGATCTGAGCTCTTGAACTTTAACCTTTCCACCAATTCTATCATGGCTGCCTTCAGTCCTCCTGAGTCTTTGCTCTAGAAGAAAGAAAAGTCAAGGGTCACTAGAGAGCATTTTGTTTTTCTCTTAAACAGAATTTCAGAGGACAATGAAATGGAAAGCAATTTTTTCTTCTTATCATCCAAGAGAACTGAACAACTTAGGGAGACCTGCACTGCACTGACCCCTTCCCCTTCTCTACAGACAAAGAGGGTTAGGACATAAATTGCCCAGTGACCTGAAAGAACTACTGGAATGAAAATTAAATGCAATTTGTACAGGCTGACTCACTGCTTCATCTCAGACTCAACTGTGCTGGTATTCACTGAAGGCCAAAGCCCTGCAAAAGAAATTTGCATCTTATGGCCTACTAATTTTTATTTTAAACTTTTATGTATCAGTGACAGAACTATGCAATATTAAATATTCTTACAAAAATAAAAGTGATGAAAACCATCCAAGACTTAACAGAAAACAGAATTACAATGTGCTGGTTAAGAGTACAAGGTTTTTGAGTCAGACAAATAGAGTTTCAAATCTGAGGTCTATCAATGACTAACCAAAGAAAATTACTGAATTTCTCAAAATCTTCTAAAAAACTGGGGAAAATAAATAGGTCATTATGAGGTTTAATTGAAACAGTGTTTGCACAGTATGTGGCACATAGTAAATGCTCCAAATGTCATCTGTTGTTACTACAGTGTAATGATTTATAGTAGAACAGTCCAACCGTTCTTGTTACAGAAATGTAACAAGAACCCTCACAGGTAAGCCTGTATATAATTTAAATTTTCTTGTGGCTACAATAAAAAAGTGAAAGTAATTTTAATGTATTTAATGTAACTCAATATGTCTAAAATATTATCATTTGCACTATGTAATTTCAATATATTACATTTTTTTCCACACTAAATCTTTGAAACCTTTTGTTTTTTTACACCTATAGCCCAATTCAATTTGGGCCACATTTCAAGTACTCCAAAGCCACACAAGGCTAGTGACTATCATGTTGGTCAACCCAAACTTAGAGTTCAGACTGTACAACCATATTGCCAGATTCAAATCTCAACTAGCTGTGTGATCTTAGGCACATCACTTAGCTTCCTTGTGTCTGTATTTCTTTACCTATAAATTGAAACTAACTACAGTAGTATCTATTTCATAGGTATGTAGTAAGATTAAATAGTTAATATGTCAAGATTCACAGAACAAGGCCTAGCACAGGGTAAACACAATAGGAGTATGAGATAGTTTTATTATTACTCTTTGTCTCTCTCTTGTTTTAAAAGTTCTTTAAAGGTAAGAACTACATCTTTTATATCTCTGTCTCCTGTGCCCAGCATAAGAAGGCATTGTAAAAAGCCTGCTGCACAAATGAACAAACTTAACCTTAAGACATGAATGTGCATTAATGATAACGTGTGTATGCACATGTGTCATTATCTGCAATTTTAAGAACTACTTTATTTTCTTATCTCAACAATTCTGTTGCACAGGGTATGACCACTCATTTTGCCAGTGAAGAAATGAAGGCATAAAGAAGTAAGAAGAGTCAGGTGTGGTGACACACATCTGTAATCCCAGCTACTTGGGAGGCTGAAGCAAGAGGATCCCAAACTCAAGCTTGCCAATTTCGCAAGAGCCTGTCTTAAAAGAAAAAAATGAAAAGGGCTGAGGATGTAGCTCAGTGGCAAATGCTCCTGAGCTTAATCCCAACACCACTGAAAAAAGGGTTGGGGGTAAGGTGGGCTGGATATGTAACTGAGAGTTAGAAACACTTGCCTAGTTTGTGCAAGGCCTTTGGTTTGATCTGTGGTACCACAAAAAAAAAAAAAAAAGATTGTCATTTTTATAGGGGAATAGATGATAATAAACAAACACTACAACTATCTCTTACTCAAAATTGGCCTTGGCCTCTAGATCAGTGAGGAGAGTTATAGAACTAATTTCAGTTACTCCAAAACAGGAAATACTTAGTAAGAACCACTGAAAGGATTAAAATACTTTATATGTTAAATCTTTCCCCTCCCAATCTACTCCTTCTCCCAAGTCTACATATGAAAGCAAAAGTCAAATGTAACATGACTATGACCAATATCTGCTTTAGATATGCTTTTTGAACAGATCACATTTCTATGCTAGCTATGGTTCTACATTGTACTAATTTCTACTTTTTAAAATGATTGTAGAAATTAGGGGAGTTATAAACAATCTTCAATCTCTATGGTCTCAGAAAAAGACAGCTGGGAAAAGGAATCTAGAAGTCACATATGAGGGAGTGAGAGAGATCTGAAGTACCTAAAAAAGGGTTAAGTTGTCAGACAATCCTGCTTTTACCAGATGATCAGACAATAAAGCCTGTCTAGTGATATCATTCCTTCTCATTGGTTGAACAAGCAGGTCATTTGTCCCTGGAAAGCTCTTTCACCCCATCCCAGCTGCCAGCACCCATTTTAAGCTCTTCAGCAAAAGCCTAATGTGTTATGACTTTCCCCATGGCTCTAAAAACAGAAAGGAATGTAGCAAACTGGGCCTTGAACCTTTCAGCAAAACAGAACTACGGAAGGAATTCCTAAGAAGCAGACAGTCTGTTTGCAGGCAGATGTGCCTTGTACAGAAAGATAAGGGAGCCCTTCACCTTCTTTCATAAAAATGCAGAGTGTCAGCAGAAGCCTTCCTCCTTTACACAAAGCACAGGCAGCTTGCCTTCGCCTAGGGACAGGCGGCGGCACCTGAAGAGAGCCTCCAATCAGGAAATTCACCCATTGGCCCCCCCAGCTGACTCTCTTGAGAATTATTCTCAAAGATTAATTGGGCTCTATGTTGAGAATGCTATACTCAGCCTCTAAATGAGTGGTGAAGAAAACCTTCCCCAATGGCTTTAAAAGAAAAAAAAAAAACATAAAAAAAGCAGCTGGTCAAAAGAGAAAGGCTCTTCTGGGCAGACCTGACCCTGACAGCTGCAGAGCTGGTATGGAGGATGCTGGTCCAAATCCTCCCTACCCAAACCCCTGCTTTCTTCCATTCTCCAGTCCCTTCCTGTACCCCAAGGAGCCTTGTACACAGGTGTTCAAGCTACTTACTGTCCAAGCTCTGAGAAGACACCTCTCAAACAGTCCCTTTAGCCACACCTGAAACCTAGGGATACATATATACCAGGGGTGGAGTTCAATGCCTTTGGTCCATCTGCAAGCAGATGAACTCAGGAAGAGTCTCCATAGGACCACAGAGCAGGCTCAGGACATTGTATCGGATAATTTTTGGAGCCTGGGTACTCGAGTAACAGGAAGGTGACGGGCATGGTCAAAGGAGGGGACTTCAAAAGCATGGAACACAGAACATGGGTCTATCTAGGTCTGCAGGTGGCATCCAAGTATAAGTATCAATCTTGAGGCAAGCATTATGACTAGAGAAGAAGTGGGACTTTCCTGATATCCACACTGCACCTTCATCCACCAATGCATTCCAACAACACAGTTCAATGTGAACATATCTTGTTTATGTACTATTTTCTTTCCCCAAAAAAGTACAGAATAAAGAGACAAGCACCATGCTGTGACACCTACCCCTGAGGAATTGATCAATTTGTGGAAGTTAAAAGGCTTCACAAAAGCCAGCTTCTAGAAGTGAGTCATGATAAAAAAATACCTTACATACTAAGTTATTTTTTATTCTCTGAAACATATTCATATGCTCTTTCATTGGCATTTCACAGTAACTCTAAAAGATAGTGTATTCTCACTTTACAGCTGAGAATAATATCTGGTAGAAATAAAATGAGGATTCCCAAAAATCACAGAGCTCATGCACCCTTTAATTGGCATTTCATGATAACACAATAAAAGGAGATACTGGAATCTCAATTGTTCCCCCAAATAAAAGCAGCAAAACCAGGATCAAAACGATGAAAAATAAAAAAAAAAAAATTATAACATGTACAACAGAAGAGATTAATCAAGAATATTAAAACAATTCCTGTAAATTAATAAGAAAAAGATAATTAAACCCCAAAGAAATCCCAACAAAAGGGCATGGACATAGAAGAAATGTAAAATGGTTAATAAATACATCCAAAGATGTTTAAAACTTACTCATAATTAAGATATCATTTCTTACCCATCAGACTGAAAAAAAAATGTAATCTAATAACAGCAGGTGTTAAGAGGCTTAAGGTAAACTGAGGGCTTCCATATATTGCTGACTGAAGTGTAAAATGGAAATGCTACTCTGAAGTCATATGCCTAGCAAGTCCACTTTTCCTTTCCTCTTGAGAAACATTGATTCATCTCTCAAGGGGGCATGCACAAAGATATTTATTGCAACATTACTTGTAATACTGAAAACTGTAAACACCCTAAGCATTCATACATAGAGAAAGGCTAAATAAACTATGTAATTTACAAACTAAGGAATACCTTATAGCAAATAAAAGGAATAAAGTAGATCCATACATACAGCAAGACATAGTGTAAAATTAAAAAAGAAAAAAATTGTAAAATAATATACATAATAAGTACATGTTCTATAGGTGATGTAAGTATGTAAAAGAAAAGTAATAACTACTGGGATTGGTATTAGGGATGATAGAAGAAGGGTTTTAGATTTAGTTCCATGTATTTGTGTTAGTTGCAGGACTTCCTGTCTAGGAGGAACAAGAATGGAATCTAGGCTTATCTCAGGATGTTACATTTCCAGCACTTTCTACAGTTAACTCTGAGAACTCTTAGCAAGAAAGAGGGAAAAAGTCAGGTCACCAAGGCTATTCTTGTTCCTCCTAGACAGAAAGTCCTACAACTCTTCAGCCAAGTGTGTCAAGCTTCCCCCAGGTATAAAACCCCAGATGGCATGTGATCTAAGGGTCTCAGCTTTATTATAGTATCCATCAGGCATGTGTAGATGAGATTCTATGCCTCCTGGGTTACTCCTGAGCCTTGCAGAAGCAGCTTCCACCTGGCAAATTGCAAGCCTTCAATAAATATATGTTGAATAAGTGAAGAGCTTAAAAGAAAAAAAATCATGTCATTAACTTCAAGTAACA